GGAGGAGCCAGTGAAAAGTTAAAATTGTCCCTCGCGCCGCGCTACCGCGAGTGCGAAGAGCCGCCCACCTCCCGAGGTCGCAGCCGACGCTGTCATGAACCCCGTTTGGGGCATTTAAGAAAGCACAAAGTCAGTGCGGGAATCCACACAAAAAGCGCAAGATATCAGGAAGAGGATCAGCATGTGGGCAGAAAGGCTGGACAGAAGGCACGGCGCCAGATCACAACCACCGAAGGAACGAAACTTGATATTACGAAGACCTACACTTTCAAACGATTAACCGATGACGAAATGCGGTCCCTTGAAAGACCACCAGCAGCTGCCACTGAGGAGCTGTCTTATTTAAACGCTTCATCTGTCATGCGTCCGACGGATGGCACAACGTATGTGCACAGAAAGCCTGGACAGAAGGAAGGCTACCAGATATCAGCCACAGAGAAGGTAAACGCTGCCATTCAGAAAACCGAGATCCTAAAACAAACAACTGGTGATAAATTGAGCGTCCCAGAAATAACATCTGCTAAAAGTGTTGGCAGAGTAGATTCCTCGCCTCTCCTGACACCGCTTGATGAGGCGTCGCTTGTGGGGAGACAGTACGGCCAGAATGCAGACTACCAGATTCCAGTCGCCGTGGATATGACATCTCCCGTTCAGAAAACCCACATCTTCAAACAAACAACTGGTGATAGAACTAGAGTCCCAGAAATAACATCTACCGACAGTGTTGGTAAGGCGTACAATGTAGCTTTAGCGCCTCTCCTGACTCCGGTTGATGAGGCGTCACTTATGGGGAGACAGCACAGCCAGAATGTAGACTGTCAGATGCCAGCCGCCAAGGAGATGAGATCTGCCATTCAGAAAACCGAAATCTTCAAGCAAACAACTGGTGATAGAACTAGAGTCCCAGAAATAACACCTGCCGGGAATGCTGACAAGGCATGCAATGTAGCTTCCGCGCCTCTCCTGACTCCGCTTGATGAGGTTTCGCATGTGGGGAGACAGCACGGCCAGAATGCAGACTACCAGATTCCACCCGCAAAGGAGATGAGATCTGCCACTCAGAAGACCGACTTCCTCAAACAAACAACTGTTGTTGTAGTCGGGCCCACCTCCTCCATTTCCTCGAAGAAATATTGTGGCCTGGATAAGGCGGACGTGCGGACCTCAGATATGCTATATGATGGCCATGTTGGCAGGGGGTCCAAGGTAGGATGCGCCTTTCCCCGGATTTCACTTGAAAAGGCACCGTTGGGGGAAACAAATCATGGACAGAATGCCGGCTACCAGGCCTCAGCAACCGAGGACAGGACATTGGCTATTCAGAAGTCTGAGGGTCACAAACGTACAATTGATGATGAACTGCTGTTTCCAGAAAGACCGCCTGCAAATAATGTTGTCAATGCGCCATATCCACTTGAAATGGCACCAATTGTAGTCAGAAAAAATAAACGGCAGATGAGCAACCAAAACTCAGCCACCAACAGGACTAACTCCAAGATTCAGGAGATTGTCGTCCTCAAACGAACAAATGATGATGAACTGCGGGCACCAGAAATAACATACACTGGTAGTATTGACAGGGCGTCCAATAGAAATACCACCCATCTCCAGATGCCGCTGCAAGAGACAACGCTTGTGAGCAGAAGATTTCGAGGTAACGGAGACCATCAGATGCTCCCCACCGAGAAGACTAACTTTGGCTTCCGGAAGACCGATGTCCTTATGTACACAACTGATGATGAACTGCGACCACCAGAAAGACCGTCCGCTGCCTACGTTTTCAAGGGATCCAGTATAACTG